ATATTTATCCTAACAGATTACTCAATCAGAGTAATAAAAATTTACTTAATTGCCTTAAAGCCATAGCTATAATACCTACCTAAGTACCTATATTTTATATTATATTTTAAAATATCACCACAAAACACTGCCACAACTATCAAAAGCACTCCATTAGCAATATCAATACAATAGGGCTCATTAAAAAACGCATTGGAAAATTTGACAATAAGTAAACAAAAGAAGAAGCAGAAACGAGAAACACTGCAAGCATCCATAAAATACAACTGACAAATTATTTGGGTGCCATTAAATGGTTAAGCTGTAGCGCCGCCACACACAACGCCCAGCGACAGTTCCCCGCCAGCAGTAGCAACACCAACTACAAATAATCATGAACACCTTCACTCAACCAGCGTGAAAAGCGAAAAGACATCCACAGGCATTGTCTGGCCTCTCTGCGCCCAAGTGAACGTAGTGTTTGTAGAAATCTTTAAGGTATTTCTAGTCCATTCATTGCATTAGCATAATTACTGCTAAATCAGGCAGTTGAAATGGAGACGATGACGAAGGCAATGATGACACTAACAACGCTCCGCGCATAATGCTAATGCGGCAGTTCGGTAATCCGAAACAGCGACGCGCGCGGAGCTCATCGCCATTGCACTAAATCTTATTTAAGTGTCGAAAACTCAATGCCGATTGACAAACAAGTGTTTTACATTTCGTGTTGTTTTAACACATTTGCTTCAGTTTGGTGCGCACGGGTTTTACAAATTAGATTTTACACTGAGGAATATTGTTTCAAAGACATGAAAATAAAATTTTATACTTTTAAAATATATTATTTTTAACATTCGAAATTGAGAATAAGATAAATTAAATATAAACTATATATATTGTGACAAAAAAGTGCCCGAAAGTTGTAAATAAAATGCAAAATATTTAATTATTCATCAATACTTATTTTGTTTGTCTTCAAAAGAATCACCACCAGATGTAATACACTTATGCCAATAATTTTTCAGTGCTCTAACACTTTTCATGGCATTTTATTTATCTTTTCGATCGACTGAAAAGTGGTTCCACGGGTTCGTCCAAAACGAGGCATGTCTTCCACGATCTCTCGACCATCTTTGAAGCTTTTATAATACTCGTAGGCTTGTGTTTTTGATAAAACTGAACCACCGTAAGCCTTTTTCAATGATTCTGAACTCGAAATTTGGTTAGAAATACAAAATTTGAGACAAATTATTTTAATAAAAATTACATAGTTCTGTGTTCATAAAGAGAAAATGAAGTATGAGGGTCATCCTTGATTACCTTTTTAACGACTCAGCCGATGAGTTTACTTTTGACATTCTTTTTCAGAAAAAATGAGTTTGTTTCAACACTCTTATTAAATTTGAGGGCTACGATCAAGGTAAAACCATTTTGAAGGGCTTTTACAAAACTGGATCCCCCAACATTTTCAAATTGGCTTTCCTTATATGAAATCTGTTTCGGTATTATTAAGTAAAGTTTTTTGCCTCAAATAGCCTCAATAGTTTTTCAATATGAAAATAAAATTTTCAAAATTAAATGAATTAAAGCTAAATATCTTAAAGCTTTCAATGTAAAATAAAAACATACAAAGATTTGAAAATAAAGATTTGAAATTGTTTTTTGTTTATCAAAATAAATTAGTGGAATAGAAATTTGAACCCGACATGGAGCTGTAGCCTAAGTGGCTATTAAAACGCGTACACATCGCTGAGCAGTGAAGCACGAGCCACAAGAGAAGATAAAAAATAGAAAACAATTTATTTTTCATTCTTATTTTCGTATGTTTGCCTCTGCTGCACCTTCCTAAGCAGTCAGTTAGCCGTTCATTGCGCAACGCTAATGCCGGAGAATGGGAAAAGTGAGGCACGATGTACATATGTATGTAGTTGACTACTGTGCAACAAATGCACGTGGCTACAACATTAATGATTAGTGGGAATTTTGATTTATTTTTTGGGTTAAAAGGAAATAATATGTAGTGTAGCAGATAAGTAAGCAGAACTAAATGAAGTAAGCGAGTGGTTTGAAGAATTTATGTGCTTCTTCTGATAAAATGAAAAATAAAATTTTAAAGCAAAATAAATCTAGTAGCTTTTAGCTAACACGAGGGGAGTTAATGAGCTAATAGAATTCGGGATTCATAACGGTATTAGCATTAAAATCAGCTTAATAGCCAAGAAACAAAAAATATATTTAACTTTAGTATGAGCCAGTAATTAGAGACTAAATTCTTTCCTTACAACTCACAACAAAAAAGTCAGTAAATAAATCAGCGAGTAAGCAATCACCCCCGAAACTCAAAATTCGCGTGCTTCTTGTGACAGAAAGCTTGTTTCCAAAAGCATAAGTAGATTAACTGCAATTAAATACACGTAAAAGAGATTTATGAAGTATGTACTCAGATTAAAAAGCAACGAAATCGCTAGAAAAACAAAAGGCAAAGTGAAAAAATATTGTGCCTTAAAAAATATGAAACATGAAAGCAAAACAAAAGGAAAAGTGAAAGCAAAGGAAGATTATATACAAATAACAAGAGAAAGCGACCAAAACAAAACATTTCAAACAAGTGCAGCCCTCGAGAACACAACTAAAAATTAACAGACAAAATTCACCAGCTTTTGAACTTTTTACTTGCTTTTACCTTATCCCAAGGAGGGCGAGTATTCACAAGGAGCTTTTGCATTAAAAATTTAATAAGCAAATGCCAACAATTGACGCACACTCCATACACACTTATACAACCCACAGCGAACCCTTACATATTATAAGTATGCAGATAGATAGAGCTTACTGCCAGGTAAAAGTGGAAGTAATTTCGCATAAAACGCGTAAGAAGTTTACAAAAATTATGTAAAGAAAAGACTGACAGTCTGACAAGGAAAGGGAAATATGAAAGAGTGAAGGAAAAGTACTAAAGAAGACTGTGGCTACTCTCTAACCAGTACATTTAAAAAGATATTATTTACTTCTGGCTACCGGCCAAGTACAGGAAATACGGAAATCACTAATACTACAGGCGGATCAATGCGAGATGGAATACCATAAGTACATACAGGATCGCCAGGATCGTGTGCAAAATCCCTTAGAAAAACTCGCAAACTTTTAACGGTTCCGAAATGACTGACCGAATCATCAGACGGCAAAATAAAATCTCCTTAGTAGTGGTTCAGAACCGGCTCAACAACTTTTGATTTAGTTAATTAACGATTGGGAGATTCCACTACTTGCTTTGACTCGCTAGAACTCAATTAACTTAAACTAGATACCTTGGTTCCAAATTACCTATTATTTTCATAAATCTTTCCACATAGTTTCATCAGTTTTCAGCTGTTTCATACCTAAAATTTATCAAATATAATGTTAAGAACATAGTGTAACTGTTTATTATGTCGAGACTCAACTGTATTGCGATTTTCTTAGTGGAGACCAAAGCAAGAAGCAACAAGCTGTCGCGGAATCTTTGAAAAATTATTTTTGGACAACCGAAAAGAGCAAGTCGCAAAACAGCCAAGCAGGGATAGCGAACAAGGTATTGCAAAGAAAAAAATTTGACAGGCATTTCGTTAGAAAGTCAGTATATGTATGTATGGCTGGTACACAACGTAGAACGTGCACAAAATGAAATGGGAGCAAGTTTGGGGCAAATTGCAGACGCTTACAAGAGACAATGCTTCAAAAAGGCACAAAGGAAGACGCTATCTTGTGAACAAAGTGGATTTCAGCGTGTAAGGATGGAGTGATTTGCTTGTTTTTGTTTTCATTGTTTTTTTTTTCCCAGGTAATCCCAACGTTGATGCCTGTTAGGGAGCCTTTAACTTGTAAGCTGGGACTTTTTCGGTTCATTTTTTTAAAAACTTTTCTATTATGACAAAATATGTTTTTTTTAACTCCTTTTGTTGTTGCTTCTCCCAACTTTACGCATATTGTAATTGCTTTTGTTGATGCATTTTTATTTCCTTTGAACAAATTTGCCGATAAACTGGATTTACTCCAGTACAAATTCGAACATTATTTTTACCAACCCCAAATTGTCTACACATCGCGGGCCTACACATCAGCTAGCTAAGGGTGCAGTTGAGCGGATGATGTCAATGATTGAAAACAAAAGCAGCACGTTCTTTGTAGGTTTGCTTGTAAGGCAGAGACTACAATGTTTGGCGGCTTCTCGCAAAGCGCTGCTAAGTGTTTGTTGTGCATAGTGACAAAGTTGGCGCTGCAATTTTGGCGTTAGGCACCTTTCAACGGTGCTAAAACGCTAAGCCGATTTAATCCAACGTACACGAGTATGTGAGAGACAGTTGGAATTTGTAGGTGTTATCGGATTTGCAGATTTGTTACCATTACACATTTTTTTGTTTTTTGTTTTGGTGGATTGGTGCTTTCCATACGTCATTCCGTGCTATCTTATGTGGACTCAATATTTCATTTTTATTTTATGGAATCGCCTTAGGGAATACATACAAAAAACTTTGTAAGAGCAATAAATATTGTGTAAAAAATTATAATTAGTCACCTTTACGAAACGTTTACACGTGTATTTCAGCTGAAATATAACTAATGCCATTATTTAAAAAAATGATATGAAAAATCCAATACATTTTAATAATAATCATTTTTAGGCCTATAAAACTATAAAGCTTTAAGCCCTTCAAAACGTAGATTTAAAGCTTTCCTATATTTTTTTGTATTATCTAATAAGTTTTTATAAGCATTTAAATTCAGCCATGTTTCTCAGTCAAAATTATAAATTAAATTATTTTATAATTTTTAGTCCCCCATCTTTTGTATTTTTAGGTACTTTCAAATTTTATATCAAAAAATTTCAAATTTATATAAAGTTCATCAAAATTATATATGTATTTAAGTAGACATAATACAAAATAATTTCTTTGATTAATATACAATATTTAGAAAAATACACAAGTAAAATAATCTATGAAAATATTTTATTAACAACATTAAAGAAATTGACTTACCTTGTAATGATTTGAAAAGCCTTTAATATCCGCGAAAAATATATTAAATAATTTCGATTCTATTTTTTACACTCATCGCTCTTTTGTCAGACTATTTTAATGCAATGAAGATTTATCTTTTCATCGCTAAATTAAGTGTATATTTATAAATTGCGAACACGCACCAGGAATTTTTAATTAGCTTTCATTCCTAATTATTATATTTTCTTTGTTACATTTTTAATAATTTTTGTAATTTAATTTATTTTTCATTAAATTTTTAATTATCAATTGTTTTTTTGGCGGTTGGATTTTTATCGTATCAAATTGATTGACGTAACTTCAAGAATTTTGGGAACTGCATAACTACATAAATGTAGTCACACTGATAATTACATACTGCCTTTAAAAGTAGCACTAAAGTCGTTCACTTAATTTCTTATACTTTATTCTTGTTCAAAACATTTTCAATTGTTTTTATTTGCTCTGTCAACTAATCAAACTGACCCATATTTCGGTGCATTGCCTTTAGTATTTGTCTAAATATTGGTTTTCACTTTTTATGTCGGTATACATATACATGTACATATATATGTACACATGTATCTATTTATCAGCGCGCTAAGTCAATATATGGCAGATGATATTTATTTTATCAGAATTCCATTCACCTAATTTTTTCTTCAGACTGGTATTTTCAGCGTAACAAATCAATCTTTGTTGTCGAAATGCAGTAAAAACGAAAGTAATTTTTAGATTTTGGGCAATGCAGTCAGTTTGTTCTAATATTGATTATCTTTAATTTATGAATTCCATGTCAGTACATTATATCACTTATAAATTCCATAATTTAAATTTTAAATTTGTTTTACAATTGTTATTGTTTCCAAAAAATTTAAAATGAAATTTTGTATCATACATCAACCATATAAAATAATTTTTTTATTCAAATTTCAAACTTTTATGTGTTCGCGCATTCACTAATCTAACGTTTTATACCGTGCTCGCGTTTTATTTTCAAATAAGCATTTACTTTCCTTCCGCACGTAATATACACACACATATTTACTTTAGTCACTTCCAGTGAAATCTACGAAAATGCAAATTCTTATTTATGTTCTCATTCCTTTTGTTTATTTGTTTTTGCATATGCACTTATGCCATTTCGCCATATCTCTAATTGCCTCAGCTGTCATTAGCGTCAGCGCTAAGATGCTTTTGTCACGCACTCATTTCTCGTAAAACACACACTCCCACTCACGAGTGGCACCCACATAAACAATGCACTGCACTTTAACCGGCAAACGCGTTCTTACATGCACGACTCTTACGATTTACCCGCACATACACTATTTCACTTATTAAATTTTACAAATTACCAAACGATTGTAGATTCCGCGACAAACTGAATCAACAAATTCCGAAAAGTACCTAGCAAACCCACAAACAACCCTCAATGCTTGTTCTTGTCGTTACGTTGCAGTTCGATGTTCGAATGCCACTGTGTTGATTTGTTTTTGCTTTGCATTTGCTTTCCTATTGCTTTTGCCTTTGTTTATTTTTGTTTTGTTCGCCACTGCAGCGTGCTCGGCACGCGACACACAGCATTTGCTGAACTTTGCTGTTTTTGTTGTGACCTTTGTTGTATGCTGTGCCAATTTGCTTTGTTTGTGTGTCGCTACTGTTGCTCGTCACTTGCCGGTCATCGTGGGTGTTCGTGCATCAGGTGGCGGTGGTGTTGGAGAGTAACGAACTCAGTTTAATTAATTCGCTGGTTAAATTTGGTTTACATTTGACTGTTGCTGCGTGCAAATTCCTTTATTTTTGATTAAATATTGTTAAATATTATAAAAATGTGCTAAAATATAGTGAAAAGTGTGTATAAATATGTGCGCGTGTGTTTGGTGTAGTAAAAGTTTATGTTTTCACAGTGATAAGTGTGTTTTTTCAGGTATTTCTGGATGCTTCTATTGTCGTGCATCAAAGCGTCATTTGTCGCCATTTTGCAAAGTAGAAAAAATGCATAGAAGCGATGTGGCTTATTGGTTTCAGTGTGATTAAAGTGCGTGGTAAATGATGTATTCGGATAGTAGAGTGATGTGTACTTAAATTATTTGTTTTTATTGTAAATTCAAAAGTGGTTAAGCATACATATAGTAAATACATGCATGTATGTAAATTCGGTGTGTATATCAATTCGGTTGCGCAGTTGTGTTGAGTGGAAAAAACTCTACGATTGACAGTAGTGCTTTATGGAAGTGCATACCTGTGTTTGTATGTAGGTATGCGTGTGTGTTTTAAGTGGAAATGTTTATTCAGTGTGTTTTAATAGTGTGTGAAAAAGAAATTATGTATGAACTTATGTAAGACAAAGCATAGCGGCATGCTAATTTTTTCCAATGCTGCGTTGGAACTATTCGTAAGTACAATTATTCTAGTTTAAATACGTAAATTTGTAGTACATCTATATTTATACAGTATGCAGTGAGGGTAATTGTGTTTAAATTACTTTACAATTAGTATGAACCATACTCCAGCTAGACAGATTTTCAATACAAGTACCTGTGCCCCGTAAACACCTAGTGGGACAGCAGAAAAAATTTTCCGAATTAAAAATAATTATACATATTTTAAGAAAAAATTAAATATTAAATATTACAACTTATTATCCTACAATGATTTAGGGTCGAAAAAAAATCTAGGATTGACAAATTGGCTGCGTTTTAAAAACGCAAAACAAAATTCGATCAGATCTAAAAATTGGTAGGTCAATGTACAAACACACATCCATATGTATGTGGGTATTTATGATATTTGTCTTAAAGTAATATGTCGTTTAGAGATAAACTGAAGAAGCCGATCGATATCGATATAAAAATTTAGTATGTAATTTTTTAAATTAATATTTAGAAATTTTACTTTTTGAAATGATTTGAGAAGATACATACAGTGCATATGTATGTTGTATTCAAGGGTATGAACGGATAATTAGTACTCACTGCTAATCTTAAACAATAGAGTAAGAATTGAGACTCAGTGAAATTATGTAAAATTTCTCAATTAATTCTGAAAATTAATAATTCTTAAATTTTTTATAAATTTTGTTATGTTCGAAACTTTTTAATGGGTATGTTCATTAGACTATTTCATTTTAGACTTTTTTTATTTATTCGCGAACACTTGAAATTTTTTTTATTGAAAACATAAATTTCATTAAAATCTAATTTTTTTATTATTTTTATTGAGTCATCTTTTTCGTCTGCAATTTTTTGGGATTTTTTTTTACATAAGACACACTATTTCCATGCGTTCGCGGAGAAACTGAAAAAGTTTGAATTTAAACATAACCTAATAATACATATTGAAGTATATTTCGTTAATAATACCCGGTTTTAATACCCTGAACAAGGTATATTAAGTTTGCCAAAAAGTTTGTAACACCCAGAAGAAACCCTACAAAAAATGTAGTATACATACATACGTGTGTATGTATATAAATGATTAGCGTGATGAGCTGAGTCGATTTAGATATGTCCGTCGGGCCGTATGCAAATACACGAACTAAAGTTTTTAAGATATCGATATGAAATACGTTCTTTTCTCTCCAAGTAGCTCTTCACTTGTCAAAACAAAGTCAAACACAAAGAAAGACTGAAATCTCCAATGAAATTTTTCAGATCGGACAACTATAGCATACAAACTGAATAGGCCATTTGACGAGGTATCTTCACGAAATTTTATTCGATTTATTGTCCGAAGCAACGGTACAACATCTGAAAAAATTAATCAGATCCGGCAACTATAGCATATAGCTATCTGAACGATAGTTATCAAGTATTTGTATGGAAAACTTCTTTAATTGACAAGGCATTGTCACGAGCTTTACCAACATACCGGATTAAGAAATAAGAATGTAAAATTTTGGTCGCAATTATACAATTAAAAATTAAAATATTTTCAATCAATTTTTATTTGAAATTGCAAAAGTATAAAATTTCTCACCTGCAAAAAAAAAATTAATTAAAATTTCAACTCTATTATTATTTAACGTCAACCGTGGATGTCATTTATGTGAAGTTTATTTCAATAATTTGCTAAATAATAAAAAGTACAAATTCTCTCACTTTACTTTGGGTAAAGTCGTGTGATTTTTGTTTACTTAATGTAAATATTTAGAACAAAAATTAAAAGCTCAATTTTCTTATTAAACGAATATGCAAATAACGTTGGCATATCAAGATGATGTCAATATTTATTATAAGATTTGTTTCTATACATACATAAATATATTCGAATATTTATCCCGATAATTATTTTTAAAGTATTTTTAATGGGAATCGTTATAAGTAAAGGAGCTGAAAGATGTCATAAAAATCTTTCATATACATTCTACATATGAATATACATATATACATATGTATATATAATACAAATAGTTGTAGCATATAATTTCTGTTCTCTTATTATATTGCTCTTTTCTGGCCACCACTTGAACATGCTTAGCACATCCGAATTAGGATACTTGAAATGTAGTCTAGAAGCCAGCCATTGCTCAATATTTAAATGAATGGTAGCCATTGTGCTGCCAATTAAAGTGTCAAACAACATTCAACAACTTAGCTTCTAAACTCATAAGAACCATGCACTTCAGCATCATTACGAAATAGAACAGCTGTATAAGATATGTTTAGCTCATACATACCGACATATGTATAATTATGTAGACAATTCAAAGCAATCAACCAAAACTATCTACACATCTATGCATTTGAAATCCTTAACTGCCGACAACTTTGTTCATGCAACACTTGAAATGCAGGCGAGCCAATAATATTTTCTTTATTACAGTGTGAATTAACAAAGAGTAAAAATTATGTACTATGAGTACGAGGAGCGAGCGCAAAAAAGGTGTTGCACGAATTGGTAGGCACTTATAGGCATACTTATATAAAGACATATACATTTAGAGGCATAAACGGTATTATTGCATAGGCGTGATAATGAAAAGGGTGGCGAGGCTAAGGGACCCCTGCTAAGTTTCAGATAAAATTGAATCATTTTTGGTTAGATAGAACTTTTAATTGTTATAAAAATATGGGAAAGGGTTTTTTCCAACAGATAACTATATACTGACTTTATAGGAGAG